CTAAACCCTAAAACCCTAAGCCCCTAGACTCAGGTGTTGCAGAGCCCCCGTGGCAGGATCCAGGTCAAAGATTTCTCCTGATGAAAGGACTATAGTAAACTCCAAAAAGTTGGAAACCGGATTAAGGACAAATAGTGCTGGGATTCCTTATACTTTGCTCTTAAGGATTCAGGCTAGTGGGTTTCCTAAACCCTAAACCCCTAAACCCTAAACCCTGAACCCTAAACCCTAAACCCTAAACCCGTTGGGCTTCTACTATACTGGTTAGATTGGCAGAGCTCCTGTACTGTCGGTTAAGGGTTTTGGGGTTTAGGGTTCAGGGTTCAGGGTTTAGGGGTTCAGGGGTTTAGGGTTCAGGGGTCTAGGGGTTCAGGGTTCAGGGTTTAGGGTTTAGGGTTTAGGGTTTAGGGTTTACGGTTTTAGTGTTTACGGTTTTAGGGTTTAGGGTTTAGGGGTTGTGCTGTGGTTTTCAACAGTGTAAGGTTCTCTGCATGTGTAATTTGCCTAGGGATGGCTTGAGAAGAACTGCAACCTCTCTCTGATCTCTAGATGCTGCATAGACATGAACCAGCGCCCATAGATGTCTACATGAACCGTAAATCCTAAACACTAAACATTTTGAACCGCAGTCAGTTGGTTGGATGTACGGAGCTGCGCCGCATGGCAACTTTGGTTTCTTGTGCAGTTGTCGAAGGCTCGCCTTAGCAAATCAGTAACATAGTAACCTAATTAGGACACCCTGGGTCTTTATTAGAGTTCTTTACTTGATTCTTAATATTTTGGGGTTATAGGGCCAGGGTTTCTTGATCAGGTTCCTACATTATCCAGATCTCAGCAGGATCTGACGATCTGATAAAAACATTGTGAAGCCGCGTACCCCATTGTCCTTTGTAAGCAAGGCAACCCCTGAACCATAAACCCTAAACCCTAACCCTAAAGCTTGCTCGCGGAAAGGTATGGCCCCAGAGCTTGAGAGATATGCGATGATAGTCTTCACATCCCTGGGTGGAGCCGTAACCAGTAGGGAGCATTTCAATCACTGTCGCTGTATATGCGGTTCATAGAGTTGTACGGCTGCAGACGAACTACGTATAATCATGTTAGGGGGTCATACCCTACCATGTTGTCGGGTTTGGGATTACAGGTAATGCAGAAGCCTGAATAGTTTCAATTTTTATTCTTTAGGGTGCTTCATCATGATTACAGCACAAAACCTCCCTTCAAGCAAGAACCTTGTTTTAATCATCAAGGCCACTGTACGGCCCCAAAATCCCAAAAACCTCCCAATAAACTGATAGTGGAGTCTCGAGGGTGCGAAAAGAGTCCCACCGCGCCAGGCCGCATCAGAATCCTACTTAAACCTAGCGCTTTTGGGTTCCGTATTGTGAGTTCCTTACGCTATAAGTCCATGAAAGCGTAGCTTATTTCGGGTTAAGGCTAAGATAAGTCCTGAACGAACCTTGGACAGCGCCTGACAGCTAGGGTATGTGGGTTTTGTGACTAGGGGTTTTTGGCTTAAGGTGTTAGGGTTTAGGGTTTAAGAGTTTGAGGTTTGAGCCGTAGGATTTAGGGGTACTTAAGTTCCCTAAATAAGGTCCTCTGTTATAAGGCTGCCGTACTATAATGGGGACCTGAAAAGGGACCATAAACCCTGAACCCCTAAACCCCTAAACCCTAAACCGCTAAGCCCCGAAACCCATAAACCCTAAAACTTGTCCGAGGCTATGTTTGCGAGCCCACATGCCTCCTGGCCTTGCTTATTCTGATAAGTAGGTTCTTAGAGAGCCGATGGGAGAACCTAAAACTT